GCCAATAACTATTCAGAAATGTTGACTGCATTGCAAATTGAATATAATTATAGCGACTACGTGTGGCGAGTTGTATGCAATTCCTATTATGTCACCTATAACGTTAATTTACGACAAATGCGTTTTTTCATTCACAAATACCAACAAGTGGTAGTGTTGGGAAAATCGCCCGGACTTGGCAACGGAAAAAAATCGCAAATTTATGGTTTGTTTGCGTAATGCGAAAAAAATCGACGCGAATATGTAAACGTTTAGTCTAGGTGCTTCCCAGTATCTCATGGACAAACAGCACAAGTCGCAGATGTCAATGTTTCTGAGAAAATTTATCGACGGATAGTTAGTTCAATGCAAATCATTTTTCTGTTTGGAAAATAAACAAGATTGTATTGGGTTTTATGAAGCGACCTCGAATGTTGCTAACAAGATAGATGGATGTTACCGTTAAAACACCGAAGGTGAGTTACAGTAGCAGAAAGAAACTTGGTAATTTTAAATTAAATCAAGGCAAAAGTAAAACTCGGAATGCTAGTAAATAGGTACTTGTTAAAACGTAAAATCTAACTCCTAAATTATAAAAATTCCTGGTGCTTTACTACGATTAGTGCAAATCCCCCCAAATGAAGTTAAGCTCGATTTGACATAACTTCCCTTTGATTTATCTAATATCCCCTTTATTCCATTACGGACAATAAGCACGACATCGATACATAAACCCCTCATTGCTCAATCCCCCACCGAGGGATTAACCCTCCGATTACTCCCGGCCATAAATATCCCAGATGAACATGGCCTTGCAAAACCATCACAGGTAGCCAACACGTAGAATGACCCCGAGCTGAGTCCCATTGATAAGTCGTAGACTTGGTAATTTGATAATTTAGTGCCAGGAAATGGTTTCAAGTTACAGTTGTTAACAAGTGGTAAAGGTTTGTAACGTTATAAATATTTATGGTTTAATTAGGTGCTGAATGGGACAAAAATTTTATAGTTTCATAAAGTTTGACACCACACAGGGGGTCGGGATTCTTCCCCAAAATAATAGGTTTCACCTCAGTTGGAAGTTGCTAATTTATGATTAAGTCTTTAACGAGGTAATTAGGCGATAATAAACCACTCTGCGTGACTTTTCTCATTTCTTTTATCGACATATAATCGTTTCACTGAACTCATAATCCCTGAGATTTTACTTCAATCAAAGTGTGACTTTTCCTAAATGACTGTTTAGTTATCGAGAATGTTTAATCAGAAAAAGTGCACCTAATGGTGCACTTTGTACTTTTGAAAAGGAAGTCATTAGTCATTTTGTCGTATTATTGTCGTTTTTAAGTGACAATAAATAGTTTAAAAATTTGTACTTTGAATAATTAGAGTCGAAATGAAGAGAAATTCAAATTTATTTTCCGGCAGTTGATTCCCGAGTTCACGGACACGATATTCAAAACCGCGAACGTATTATTTAGATTCAAGCTTCTCACGTAAAGACGCGATTTTGATTCAAATCAATAAATTAGATGCCTAATTTTAGGTTAAACCAGAACTAATTTACACGAACAAATAGTCATGTTTGCTCTTGAAACGAAACAAATCATTAATAAATTCGCAATATTCTCAATTTTCAAAAAAACACAAATCAAAATGCTATTTCCGGAGCTACTATTTATGTTTCAAAAACGGGAACTAGAACGGTCTGGGCCTTTGGTTTTCTAGTAATAAATGTCTTTTGATTGATGAATTTGGTGCTTTTTATGAAAATCCTGAAAGTTTCGAATATCTTGAATCAAAAACAATGAAAAAACACAAATAAATATAATTTGCAATTTTCTGAGCTATTTTTTTTAAACCTTTTATTTCAAAGATCGAACGGCGACTAGGAATGTAGTTTGGGCTTTTGCTTTTTAGCAATAAAGGTCTTTTAATTGACGAATTTGGTGTTTTTTTATGAAAATCCTGAAAATTTCGAATATCTTGAATCATTAACAAAATCACAGTATTCTAATTTACAAAATACATAAATCAAAATAAACACAATTTCCTATTTCGTGACCGGTTTATTAAAATATATATTTATTTCAGAAATTGAACGCCTATGGATGCGGTTTGGGCTTTTGTTTTTCTTAGTAATAAATCCTGATATCATTAACAAATTCATGGAATTGTAATTTTCAAAAAACACAAATAAATATCATTTGCAATTTCCTGAACGATTTATTTTTCAAAAATTTTTATTTCAGAAATGTCCTTTGATGAATTTGATGTTTTTTTTTTGAAAATCCTGAAAATGTCGAATCTCTTGTTTCAGTCGCCGGTCCGATTAACAACAATAACCTTTGAATCGATCGTCTCGTCGAATTAAATGAAACCGCAATTCAGCGCGATTTATTCCAAACCGTTGCGATGATGCGGGTAATTATTTAAATCGTCGGCGAGCGGGTGATCCCCATAAATCGTCTAAAATTACGATTAATTACTTTCCTCTGTCCGAATCAATAAACAAATTGGTCACCGGCGAAAAAGCGTCCGAGTCGAGTGATCGAATGTCGTTGAACCGGCAATTAGCTGACATTTACGAGATAAGTTCAGACATGACGTGCATTTCCCAAAGCCTGCATTCCGACACAGAGCGCGTCCGCACTTTTTCGTCCAACAATTGTCGCAGAATTTTCGATGATAAATTCCGAATCGGTCGTCGACCGCACCACCTCAAAGTCTGGGCCTTACCTTGAATTTCCACCCGAGTTTCGTCGAAAGCCACCCTAGGAATCCGAAAAGATGGAAACACGCGATAGGAGTCGGTGAGGCGAGTCGCATGCACCACCTCGCTCCTCTAAGGTTAAAAGTAAACTGAGAAGCAGTCAAGCAACGAAGTTAAACTCTGGTGAGTGGTTAAACGATTCCGTTTGCCGGCCCGACATGGATGGAGCGGCTCTTGTCTAAACTTCCCGAAAATATGATTAATGAACGCCTTGGGGGAGTTATTATTGTCGCAATTGGTGACGTTTTGTCCAAGTCTAAAATTGATTTGAGCAATTTTTACCCGACCCACGGCGAAGTGGAAGATTTACAAGAGGACGAGATGGAACACAATACCATACAGGGTGGGCAAACAAAGACACGACCGGTTTTTACGTTCGCGAGAACCCTTGGGATTTAGGAAGGACCAGACTAGAGGCGTGTGAACCAAGACAATTTTCGGTTATCGGCCAACTGTTTCGGGATCCAAAAGAATAAATTTTAATAGTTTTTCCTGCAAATATCGATTTTAATCCCGTCCAATTTTTTTCCTACAACGCCAATTAGTGTAGTAACAATGCTTTGAGAAAATCGTTTTAGTTTACATTAATTACTGTCATATCTTGCCGACTAATTAACTTAAATCCTGTGCTATTCTCTTAATAAGATTCTCAGCGACTGTATTGATTTTTTTTTTTTTGTTTAAACCCCACCTTATTTGTCGAACCACACATGAAAGGCAGGAAACTTGCCTAATTTGGATTTCCTTGTCTGTAACAATAATTTTCTCTTTCTTTGGCACTGCCAGAAGGATAAAGGTTTTTTTAACATACATATACAAAAACAAAATTATCAAAAATACACTTTTTTGAAAACGGTATATGTATTTTTGAACTAAAAATTAAAAAAATATAAATTTCAAAAATTACCAAACATTTGCGGTTTTGCTGATTTCACATAAGTATCAAGTTAATTTTAGTTCGTGTTTCATATTTGTAAATATTTAATTACTGGTGTTATTCAATATTTCGAAATTTAATTTTAGAGACAATTTTTTATTAAAAACCTAGACAATTCAAATATCAAGATCATCTCAATTCTTGGAGAATAAAATTTCTTCAAAGAAAAACCCTCATCAATAGTTTTTTCGGAATCAAATAATTTTCCCAAACTCAGACTTGTTCCATTTATCCCGGGGATTATTACTTATCGACTCTGCGGAAATGATTCCAGGAAAAATTGTGGTTAGTTCCTGCCACTAGCAGTAATCTATCGCAATTTCGTAAATCAATTTTATATAAAAATATAAAAAACCTAGAAGACTAAGTAACAGGTTAACCGTTTGCAAAAATGGTTAACATTTCCAGACCAGTTCTAATAAATTTTAAAACAAAAATAGCTGCATTCGCAATATGAAAACATGTTACTTTATAAATATGGTTTTTAACCGGTTTTCGGCTTTTACAAAGTTACATCCCAACCGAGTCGTTTAACACTATTACTAATTAGTTCGGTAATTTCACGGCTTAATCAACTCTCGATTTACTCTTCACATTAGAACGAACGGTTCGAACCGAGTGGTTAATGGACCCGTGTGCAACAAACACAAACTTACAAAAAAAATCAATCCGAACTAATTTTTAGAACGAAACCTGTTATAAACTATCAGTTCAATTTTATATCTTAATAATTAATCCATAAATATTTATAATACGGCCTCAAACATTTCCTGACGAAATCGGCAATAAATCAACGCATATGAGGTGTTCGAGTTATGATTCGGCTTTAGTTTAAAACCGAAGCTGAAAAATACGGTTCGAGTCATTAACGATTTTTTTCCCGGCTTGAAATAATCTCATCAACTTCCCGGTTCGTAATGAAAGAAATGCATTGAATTTTTCATGAAAACTCCGGATATTTCGTGTAATAAAACCACAATGTTTTTGTGTTTATTCAACGGCCGTAATGAAAAAAGTTTCGACTGCACTCAAGCCGGAATTGTTTGCAACTTTGACGTAAATTAAAACGCTATTTTTGACAATCGATTCAGATTTGAAAAAGTACGAAAGGTGCGTCACACTTGTTATCCGGCCAAGGTTTTATGTGGAGTTGTGTATTTTTACAACTGAAACTGATCGAAGATTGATAGATACAAAAAAATTCAATCTATAATTAAAGAACAAGCCGTTTGCTTGCTACTACACCGAAATTGGTGTAAGTTGACTGTTATACTTATTTACATTCCGGGAAAGAAATTAAAAATTACTCACAATTTCCATTTCAAGCAGACATCCGATCTAAACAGCCCATAAAACCGCTTTTAATTATCAATTTCCTTGACAAACTTGCTTTTTTACAGTCAATTAGACGATTCATTACTAGAGAATCGCATCTGGTCCCAACTGATTTCTATTGCTGACCAATCGTGGAAACTCGACCTTCCGGTGCGCGAGAACGTCTCGTTTTCGAAAAAATAAAGCCTCTTGATGACATAATTAATAAAATAAATGTAGCAACATCTGTATCCCGGATGACCATCATCTACTTCATCATAATTATTTCAATAAATCTTTTTAGTCTAGTCTAGAGACGATAAATCTTGGTGTCTCCCACACACGATCCACGATGTCCGGCACGCGAAAATTTGTTTTCGGTTTAACAAGATAAATTACGTCCGACGAGGGCGATCAAAACTTTTCATCCGTCACGGATGCAACAACAGGAATGGGGATTTGTGGAATGGATAATCTTGTTAAGGTAGTAACAGAAAAAGATCAAATTCCTGAAAAGAGAAATTTTATTGTCAAAGCACCACTCTTCTCCAAAATCTGAAAAACCATTAGTCAAATATTATGTTAATATTGCAAATATCGGAACAAAAAACACTGCAAAACCGCAAGAAATACTTGAAGCGAGTTAACCTTCACAATAGAAAAACTTGCATCAGTGTCAGTCATCTTCGCGGAACGCTTGCAAGTGTTTTTGTTCCGTTTTCTCCGTTTTTGTTTATTATATAACATTTGTTTTAATCAATTCTCCGAATTAAGTGCAGTGCACTTATGATGTCATTATACCACAAACTTCTGGTGTTGTTTCTTATCTTGAATCCACGGCGTTAGAGAAGCCGACTCAATTCAACCTAAAACAAAATTGTCTAAGTAAAGCGACCACAAAAACCAGTTGGATATTTTAAAAGTGAGTCTGACATGAAAGAACAAATCGTTAAAATGACTTTAAAATATCCAACTCGTTCAAATTGACACGATTAAAAAAGTAACTACGAGAAACATGAGCTTGTGAGTGCATTTTAATAGGATGATTTCTTGTTTGTCAATTTGTGGTTTGTTAATTATCTGAAATTAATAATTACAAAAGAGACAAATTACAAGAACAAGTCGTTCTTTTTTACTTTCAATGCACTTTTTTGAAAAAATTATAAAGGCTCAAAAGTTCTATCACAGAAAGTAAACTATTTAATTTCAATACATTACCTAAAATGTGTCCATTTTTGCTATTAGATTATTTTGCAGCCAATTTTAGGACAAAATTGTTTGCACCACTATTTGTGGGCACGGGAACAAAAAAGTTCTTCTCATAATTAGTCTTCACAAATAAAACTGTTCAGAACAGGGATGAGTGTGTGTATAAATGACATTTTTGGCACGTGATCAATTCGTTTACAGATCATATATTACAAACACCTCTTTCGTGAGGTTGTTACAGCTGTAAATTCAAATTAAACGATTATTATTTGCACAATCGGGTTGGTAATATTGCCAGATTCCTGTATAGTCATTTGATAATAAAACACATGCAAAAATAACCAGCTGTTACCATCTATATAATAAATTAGAGAAATTAAATCTACAAGAATTGTAGATTACATTGTATTTGGTAGGTAATACTTACTCAAATTGTGCGAACTGTGAATTGTCTTCGTAATTTTGCACGATTTCTTTCGTGACATTGTCAAAAAATGGGATAAGAAATTTGCACAGGAATGTCTTATCAAATATTTTATTTTTAATGCCTCATCTTAATGTACAAGTAATCTTTTAAAAATTATGTTCATTGTTCAAACTCGACAATGAGTTTGTTTAAAAGTTTGTCCGACTGTTTTAAATTCAAAACATATAGAAAAACTACGAACACTAGCTTAGATGCACATCAATAAATAAAGTGATACATAATTTCTTGATTAAACTACAAAAATTTCCCTTGCACTAATCCACATCAAAAAGGGCATTACGGTCGATTTGATGAGATCTTTAATTTACTACTGTGACGTTTAAATTTTTCTCCTCAAAAAGTAATGAATGATCCCAAAGAAAGAAAAAGTATAATCTCCAAAAAACATCATAGTGTTAAAAACTTATTAACTAAACATGTACTACAAAATATAAAAAATATGTATTGAGTTATTCATTCACACAATCTTAATTATATATAAGAGACATTTACATTCAATGATAAAAACACTCTAACGCAAAGACGCGATGGCTTTTTTAGAACCGTCTAGCCTGGTTTGTTGAACCTGCAAACATGGAGATGCAAAGCCACATTAATTATGAATGTCAAAGGCATCTCAAGAGGTTATTAATATAACCAGGCTGAGATTTGCACACATTTTTGATAAATAAATAAAATACAAAAGAATATACTGTGCACCAATACATCACAACGGCAATATCCAATACTTAAATATGAAAATCCTTTTTGGTAAATTATTACAGTAAATGTGCAAAACTTTCCTTTGGTTTGACACATAATCGATCTTGTGTATTTTATTAATAAGCTCTTATATAAATAAACAAAAAACTATTCTTTTTTTCAACTTTTTTTAATGGTATTTCATTGTTACGTGCAAAAGTTCTGACACATAATCGATCTTGTGCTTTAAATCTGTAATTTTTTTAATCAAAAAACATTTATTCAAACATTTAAAAACAAGAAAATTTATTTCCACCAAAAAATCTCTTTATCACATCATATTAAATTATTTTCATTAACTTTTTACGATATTTACATCCTAAGCCTTGTCAAATTCCACATTTTGAGCTTCAGTTCTATGAAAAAACAACAAATGGCTGCAATGTGGTACACAACAAATTACCACTCAAACAAATGCTTTTGCACTTTTCTTTTCTAAATAAAAAAAATCAAATTATTTCTGACTTTTAAAACTTAATCCGACCAAAAACGCATCGACTCACCGTAACCCCCGGAAGGTGCGTATCCCCCACTCCTGTCTTCATAGCCACCTTGTTGGCTACTGTAACCACCGCCTCCGGCACCTCCACCACTGCTGTACCCTGAAGATCCGTAGTTATCTGAATCTAAACCATAACATTAATTCAGACAAAAAGCTAATCAGTTTTGTGAAAAAGCGATGAACCCTTTCAGTTTATTTACAATTTTTTCAAATTACTACTCGAATTATTACGTTTTTCTCCGGCCATTTTGCAAAACAATACAAGGTTAATAAATACAATAATGGTTCATATTATAATCCCAATCCCATTTTTTATCACTATCATGGCCATCTACCTGTCTGATATGTGGTCGCATAACTCGTACCATCATATTGTCCCGAATTGCCGTAACCACCTCCACCAGATCCACTTCCATATCCGCCACTTCCACCTTGTTGGCCATAGCCCCCTTGGCCCTGTCCGTACGACTGTGAATTATACGACTGTTGTTGGTAACCACCAGACGCACCACCACTACCGCCATATCCCTGCGGCCGACTATAAAAAAAATTAAAACACAAACCAAAATGATACAAAAAACAATTACTTTTGTCCAAATCCGTTCTGATTGCCATTTTCAAACCTCGGCCTTTTTGGACCAGGTCCCCCTTGACCGAATTGTCCAGGAGTCCGTTTCTGACCCAAGAAACCCCCACGGCCTCCAACTCCCCTCGGACCACCAAATCCTCTACCACGTGGTGCCATTCCTGTCCCACGACCACGGCCCATGCCGGGCCCTTTAGGGGCACCCATGCCTCTACCACGGAAACCGCCAGGACCGCCACGACCCATCGGAGGACGCGGTCCGCCGGGGGGGCCACGAGGGCCCTGCGCGTCACCACCCGGACCGCCAGGCGGACCACCTACACAATCTTGTTTAAATTTGAGCTTTCAGATTTTACATGCACATTTACCGGGTCCTGGGGGGAAGCGTCCTCTTGGCGCGCCTCTAGGGCCGCCGCGTCCCCGCATCATCGGGCCCCCACGGCCAGGAGGACCCCCGGGTCCACCCCTGGAAAAAAATCTTAGAGAAAAACATAACACCTCTGTACCACCCAACGTACCTTCCCCTCATAAAACCGCCGCGTCCTCTGGGCATTCCGCGACCGCCTGGCCCTCCACGGCCCCTGAAACCGCCCATGCCGCCACCCATGGGCCGGGGCTGCTGTTGCTGCTGCGGAGGATTGGAAGATTCGGTTTCTTGAGGGTTATTCTCGGCCATTGTGTCCTTTGAAAAAACTAAATTTAGTGATGGAGGGACGCGTGACCGGCAAACCGGCCTAAAACCGCCAAAAAACCACCAACAGCGAAGTTTTTACGAAAAGATGTAACGAAAATTGGGGCTTAGGCAAGACTCACCTCTATTTTTGCAGGAATTTGAGTGTTTTTAAATTATTTATTGTGAAAAGTGCGCGTCACAAAGCCACAATTTCAAAATGGACGATGGCTTCTTGTTGGTTGGCTGGTGGGGAGTGCGCATGCGCGGAGAGGCAACACTAGCGACATCCGGGATAGCGCCAAATTTAAATTGACTAAAAATCAGGAATTTTGAAAATCAAATTTTTATTACTAGAAGTATACATTTAAGAATACTTTTTACTAATACTATCTTATTACGTTAAGTATATAAAAAAAAGGTTGTGCTTGCATGAATTTGAGAGAAAAATTTGTGCTACCACCCGAGTAATGAAAATTAAAAAATAATGTTTGCGAGTAAAAATATAGAAAATCTTGTCTTAATTCCTTGTCCTTGACCAAAGAACTTCAAAAACTTTGAGGAGAGATAATGTAATTAGGTAGTAGTGAATCCTTATTGAAGCCAAGTAAAGATGCTCAAGGGGATTGTCTTTATTGAATTATGTACGTAAGAAGCTCGGTAAGAAGTTATATAAAAGAAGTAGCTGTGTCATGAAAGGAAGTCGCAACGGACGCAACTTCCGTTGGATGTGTTCTCTTACGATTGGAATACCTCCAAGAAGCGGTTTAAGGCAAGTGCCCCTTTAGCACGAGTATTATTGTTGATTTTGGGCCCCCAGGCCACCATGTCTGTGATGGGCGAGCCGACCTTCATCGCCTGGGCCGCTCAGCGGTCGGGCTTCGGCGGCAACCTCACCGTCGTGGACAAAGTCCTCCCCGACATGCTCCACTTGGTGGACGCCCATTGGTACCAGTTCCCGCCCATGAACCCCCTGTGGCACGGCATTCTGGGCTTCGTGATCGGCGTTTTGGGCTTTGTTTCAGTCGTAGGCAACGGCATGGTCATCTACATCTTCTCCTCGACCAAAGCCTTGCGCACCCCCTCCAACCTCCTTGTCGTCAATTTGGCCTTCTCCGACTTTCTGATGATGCTCAGCATGTCTCCAGCGATGGTCATCAACTGCTACAATGAGACCTGGGTGTTGGGGCCCCTCCTGTGCGAGTTGTACGGCATGGCTGGCTCTCTTTTCGGATGCATATCGATCTGGACCATGACTTTCATCGCCTTGGACAGGTACAATGTGATTGTGAAGGGGCTGAGTGCGCAACCCTTGACCAAGAAGGGGGCCTTGTTGCGAATATTCCTCATCTGGGCGTTATCCTTGTTGTGGACCATCGCACCCTTGTTTGGATGGAACCGCTACGTGCCAGAAGGGAACATGACGGCGTGTGGGACCGATTACTTGACCAAGAATTGGGTCAGCAGGAGTTACATCTTGGTTTACGCCATTTGGGTCTACTTCGTTCCCCTCTTCACCATCATCTACTCCTACTGGTTTATTGTGCAGGCGGTGGCTGCCCACGAGAAATCAATGAGAGAACAAGCAAAGAAAATGAACGTTGCGTCCTTGCGGTCCTCCGAAGCAGCCCAAACCAGCGCCGAGTGCAAGCTAGCCAAGATCGCCCTAATGACCATCACTCTCTGGTTCTTCGCGTGGACCCCCTACTTGGTCACCAACTTTACCGGGATTTTTGAAGGCGGCAAAATTACTCCTTTGGCCACCATCTGGTGCTCGCTTTTTGCTAAGGCTAATGCCGTCTACAACCCGATTGTCTACGGAATCAGGTGACTCTTATATCGCATTTTTTTTTCTCTAATTTGGGTTTTGTAGCCATCCAAAGTACAGACAAGCCCTCCAGAAGAAGTTCCCGTCGTTGGTATGCGCGGCCCAGCCGGACGACACCACCTCCACCGCTTCTGGAATAACGAATGTTACCACCGACGAGAAGGCTACAGCTTAAATAGTGACTTATGGCTTTTGTTTGAGTATTGTAATTGTTATGCTGGAGAGCGGGATCGGGAGCGAGCACCATGCAATCAACTTAAGAGTCAGCTTAAGACTAAGTTTATTATATACAAATATCTACAATA